TTTTAACAAGAAGTCGAAAATATTACTTTTTACCAAAAATGACAAAAATATTCACCAAAATTAGAGAATTGAAGATATAATCATGAAATGAACAAATCTGAGAGAGGTCTACCCACGGTACATATACACCAAGTATCAAAGCATTCAGGCTTGTAGTTTTCAAGAAGAAGTCGAAAAAGTAAAACATTGACACGGACGACGACGGACAATCACTCATATGATAAGCTCCGCTCGACAAAGTCGACAGCGGAGCTAAAAAGTTGTCCAAGTAAGTTGTTGTGTAGTATTTATACTGTTGAATTGAATTTCTTCTCCAAGTGGATACTCAAATGAATACTGTGTCAACTGTATTTATACTTGCTCACTGCATTCTCTACCATGTTTACTATATGAATGAATTTAGTGTTCACAACAAATGATATGTAAAACACACTTTTTAGTCATTTTTTGACTAGCATTAACTCTGTAAGGGTCAACCAATGCTTTGGTGTTCAACCCCCAGACACAATCTCAACGCCGGTTTTTAGCGATCGTGGGTACGTCACTACGACCGCTACGCTAGCAGTAATGACCTTACCTTGATTTATCTTGACCGTCATACGCATGAAGATCCAAAATATAATCTAAATTAATTCTGAAAATAATTTACAAATACATGAATGTAGGGTACATGTTAAAGCCGTAAAGTATTGCGGTGTTCGTACCACACTGTGTTCGATTTACAAGGTTTATAAGAAAAAATATATGTTAACGTGAAATTTTACATGTATGTACAACGACTGTAGCGCTGTATGAAAGATTTGAAAAACTTTGAGAAAAAAAAATTGAAAAAATTTGAAAAAATAAAACAGAATTCATTCAGTCAGAATTCATGCCATTTTTGTATGGTCCAACCACCGTACAAATTTCAGTGAAATATGATAGATATTTACTCACTTTGACCTGCTCGTTTCTAGTAACTTTCCCATACTGTTAATACTCCTGTTTAAAGAGATGATAAATCAAATATACACTACCGTATTTACTCTAAAAAAAAGCGCAAATAACAATATTTAAATATACTGTAAAATTCATTATTGAAGCTGGAATTAATTTTTGCTGGGTGTTTTGTACAGAGTTCACTTTGTCTGATATTTGATGAGTTGAATGTAAATTATAGAAAGAAATGGTATATTTGTTAGATTGAATTAGCCCATCAGCAAAAATCAGTGGGAATAAAGCACTCTACAGTAATTATTTTGACTATAGACACACCTCTGGCAATACTAATAGAACAAATACAGCAAGGGAATAAAACAGTTATAACACAAAATGATATTGAGTTAAAATAAGTATGTGTGCATGGAATTTTGATGCAATTTTTTTGCAAATATTCTGCATTTTTAATTTTTTTGTTAATTTTGGACCCAAATGTATACAATTTCCCACTGGTTACAGCGATTAAAAACAAAAATACTACTAATAATAATATAATAATAATAATAATAATAATAATATGCAGATAAATTAAAATGATTTATTTTGTGATTGGTGATGAAACGCTGATAAAGACATTTTGGGAAGACATAAATTTAACTTGAAAAACGGCAGCAAACAAACTCACAAATGAATAGTTTATGAAATTTATGTCACTTTCGATTGCAATTGGCACTGCAATAAAACAATCATAGAAATCTAAAACTAAGATTATTATTTCACCTGCAATGTACTTATAACAAATCCAATGTGAACAGCGCCCTCACATGATTACTGTGACTGTTCTTTCTTTTTTAGACCAGGAGTTCTCCCATGTTGACAATTGAAATGAACTAAGAGTAAAACCTTGTCTAAACCAAAGTTTTTTCTAAGTCTTTTGTTCAAATATGGAACCAAACAAATCAAATTTGTAATAATTTTGGGGCTGAACTCTAGGTGCATTCTAAGGACTATGCAATAAAAGGCCGCTATGGCATGCAAATGTATTCAAACAACACATATTATGGGCTGTCAAAATTGAACCATGGGAAGTAAAATACTCTGCATTCATTGGCCAATTTAAATGTAGGATCCTGGGAATACCCATAATCATGTGTCCACCTAATTATTGACAATGTGTACAATGACAACATTATCAAACTGCCAATCATATTTACGTTCAATACCAGTGATTATGTCCATTTGGCATGGTTGTGATTATTTAGAAGGATTCAATAACCTCAAAACGAGAATAGATTTCATAACACGTTGGTGTTTGTCCTATTTGTTTATTAAATATCATATTTGAATTTGTGATTAGTTGCATAAAACAAAATACCTAATATGTACGTAGCAGGCAATGCCTGGCGACCAAACAAGCCCAGTTGAGAATTTTATTGATTTATTGAAAACGAACTGACATAAGCTTAGAACGTTGAAGAGCATGAACTGTGGATATCGAGAGCTACATGTGAGTTGAGTGGAATTCAAGACACAACTTGGCTGACACCGCCACTACTCAAAACGACTTGAATTAAACTGTAAACTATAATCATTCCATTGTCAGAAACTGACTGCTTTATCAATGAAAAACATTTCTGATGTTTTGTTTTGCCATGAATTATCTCTCTCACTTTGCATAACTTTGAAATGAACATAGTCATAGAAGTGCACCATTTTAAAAATCTTAGGGTAATTCAAATTCCTCCTCAATCTCCCTTATACATACACACAATACAAAAACGCTTGCTATAATGCACAAAAGTAGTCTACAGCAACTACTGTTACAAGATACAGAAATTAATTATCTTGTAGCCATGGCAACAGAACATGCCATAAATTATAGTTACCTGACATGCTGAGTGAGACTCTCAAGATGAGACCCCTCAACTAGATCAATTTTATTCACAACAATTAAATCTGCAAGCGCCACTTGCCTGAAAGAAAAAAATACCATACCATACTCAAACAGTTGAGAAAATATTTGCACAGCATTTGTTAGATCTAAGAAGCTAATAATAAAAAGGTTTCAATGTCCAACACAGACAAGCAACTTTTAAACAAGCAGCCTGTTCGCTGAGATAGCTCTGCTGTTAGCAATGCACATTTCAATTAAAGAACTGAAGTTATCATTAAAAAATGAACAATATGTATAGTATCAAAGCAATCTGACTTGCTGTTTTCTACGAGAATTTGAAAATATCCCTTTTTTCCGAAAATTACAAAAAGAATTCATTAAAATTAAATAATTGAAGATATCATCACGAAATGAACATATCTGAGAGAGGACCACATGGGACCTATTTATGTAATATCAAAGCAATCAGACTTGTGGCTTTTAACAAGAAGTATCAAAGCATTCAGGCTTTTAGTTTTCAAGAAGAAGTCAAAAAAAGTAAAACATTGAGACAGACAATGACAACAATCACTCATATAGTAAACTACGCTCGACAAAGTCGACAGCGGAGATAAAAAAAACAACAAAAAAACATATTTTCTTCTTCGTGGCACACATCATCAAAGGAGTATTAGTATTATATTTTGTCAAAGGGTCAAAGGTTATACCCAACTACTGTTTGATTATACTGCATTTGAACTTACCGTACGGCTTCATTTATAACACCCTTGGGTTTCATCTCCTGTAAATGTTGTAAACCGTACTTGGCATCCACCACGGTTACGATACCTAAGTAAAGACAAAACTAGAACTAGTCATGTTGCTAGGATACGATCATGAGATATTTGTTGCCATCTCTATTGTTGCTGCAATGTGAATCCTTTTAGTGTGATTTAAAATTCATGAATACAGGAAGTAACTTACCATCGAGGTACAAGTCACTTCCAAGTTCATCATCAAGCCAAAATATTGATGCTATCGGACCTGAAATTAAACAGACATAGTCTGAAAATGGAGACTCATAGATTGACCTGCATGCATCTGTGTGTGTGTCCAACCTTATTCCGCCATATCTCACACATGCTTGGACATTTGTTTCATGACCTGATCTAAGATGGCCAAATGGCAGCCTTTTCAAGGGCAAAAATGCATCGAAATCACACATACTAGGGTATTTGTGGAGTTCTGATTCAGTTTAAACTTGATAATTAATATGTTATTTTGGGGATCAAGTTCAAAATACACGTCACTGATCAGGTCATATATTTCATTAACTGATTGAATTCACATTTGGTCTATATAATGAACATCACCTGGAGGCATGTCATTTTGTTTCCTGATTAGATTCATAATCTCCTGACTAGTCGCTATATTGTTTTATAGAATGCTGTAAATATCCGCCTTTGTCAAATATTACAGTAGTCATGCGATATTTCACGCCTATAATACAAATGGAACAATGACTTGTTTTACAGTGAAGCCAATCCCACTACATACCTGGATCAGCTAATCCAGTTGTTTCAAGTAAAATATAGTCAAACTTCCCTCTTTTTTCCATCAAGTTTTCTATAGCCTTAACACCATTGTCTCTGAAATGTATGAGATTATCGCCATATTTAAAAATGCAAAGCACATATGTAAAACAAACTTTGCGAATAAGCAAGGACACTGGCAAAATCAGTTCAAAACGAACACTAATAAACCAGTTTTTCACAGACTCGCTCACTTATGGTATTTGCATTAATATTCGCAGAAATGTACGTCTTTTGTGATAATCTTGTAATTAATATAATTCCTATTTAATTTGCATTAAAATCACTTGAATCTTACATCTTACATAGCCCTGTTATTAGTTATATGAAAACAGACATACAAGTGAGTGAGATAACCATGGCAACTGAGTGCCAAGAATATATCGCAATAATGTGAGACTTACTTAACAGAACAACACAGACATCCATTTCTCAATTCTAGCCATTCTTCAAATAGTTCACCAGACTGTCCCACTGACATGGACTTCTCTACAGAACTTCCTGTAACATAGAAAATACCTCAATGTGTCATAGAAATACAAGTCCTGCACAAACATCAGTTTTTGAGAGAAATAGCAAATTCTTTGTTGCTGGTCAGTGTGCGCAATATTACAAAATAGTTTCCAGAGAAATAGCAAATGACAAACTTGTTTCCATGGTGATATTCTGATTTTCCAATACAGGGAACTTTACACAAAAAAGTGTACCGTACCTTATGAAAGAGTTCAGATATCATGTTTACGAATGTCCAATCTACCTTGCTCATAAAATAATGTGGAAATTTCAAGAGAATTTTAAATTTTAGGAGTGAGAGGTTCATTTTACAGAGTACAAATAAAAATAGGGAAACCCAAACTTGTTTATTATTGTTATTTTGTGATTACTCTATGGCATTAACTAAATTTCCACATTCCTGATGACCGGAATTGGGGTATTTTTGCCCCAATCTTCTGAGGGATGTGCAGACTAAAAACATACTATTTTGTAAATTTGTGATGAAAAGAGAGAACTCGTGGTAAAAAGGTTAATAGTGGTACTCACCTTCACCGAACTCATTTAAAATTACTGCTATTTTTTTATTATGCTGTTCAGTCAGTATGTAATTCAATAGAGTTGTTTTCCCAGCACCTGTAACAGTGAGAACAAAATTCAGAGTAGTGTAAAATACTTAATTTTAGCTGGAAATAATTTTCGCTGAAAAATTTGTTTAGGTATTTTGTATTGAGTTATTTTTACTGATTTTTGATGAGTTGAATGTAAAATTATAGCGAAAATAAATTATTTTACAGTAAGCTGTACGCAATGCACCATAGCACCATGTCGTTCTTGATATGCGTTATGTGCGATGATACAATTAAAGATTCCAGAGAAAACATTTCTTTTTGCCTAGCATCTTTGATACAAAGTTTTCACACAAAACATGATTAGCTTGTCGCTTTAAATAAGTAAATTCCAGAATCATAAAATTCTCACATAAATTCTAGTTGGATTTGTTAAGCAAAAACTTAAAGCATCACCTGTGCGTACGTCAGATGGCCATAGCGTGTCATTGTTTACAAACAAGTGTCTACCCATGAGCCTTTGCATTTTTAGCGTGTGTTGTTACCCGTGCGTGTGCAGGTTACAACCCCTTGCTTTAATTTTCATGCAACCACATTTGATATATTGTTCAGCCAGTCTGAGTACGTCATATATTTAACAAACTGATTTTGATTGTAAAACTGGTATAAATTTCAGGAGTAAGCATCAAAACACAACACAGGTAAACTTGCAATCATGCCAAGAAATCTTTGGAAAATTCACCCATGGACTGTACTCTCTGACCCTAATTATATGAATAATCTCAGACATCATATTTCAACACTCACCTAAATAACCTGTTATTATAGTGACAGGTATTTTAACTTTTTGTTGACTTTCCGTATTACTACTTTCAACAAGAATTGGGCACTCGTCATCTGAAGAATCAGACATTTCTATCAAATACACTATGTTGAAAACACTTTGTTGAATACACTCCGCTGAATGCTGAATACACTATGCTGAATGGAGGATACACTATGCTGAATACACTCTGTTGAATACACTTTGCTGAATGTTGAATACACTATGTTGAATGTTGAATGCACTCTGCTGAAGACGCTATGCTGAATACACTCTCCTGAATACACTCTGCTGAATACACTCTCCTGAATACACTCTCCGCTAAATGCTGAATACACACTGTAAAAAATATTCGTAAATATCGGTGTCACAGAATTCAAGTCCAATTCTGCAATATGAAAAATGTTAATAAATGAATACGAATTAAAATGAAAGCAAGTATTTACAGTATCATACGCAACAATCAGATGGCAGTTCACGTTGAAGACAGTCATATACTGGCAATAACACTGATAGTGATAATGGCCAATATTCCATGCACGGTCATCGCACGTACAACTAAATGATTGTAGAAAAATTAATCCTGTTACAAACTCATACATTTTACATTAGAGCAAAAGCAATGATTGCAGAGAAAATTCAGACGGGCGAACCGAGCGCGCAACCATACTAAAACCAAGGGTTACGTTATGTGAAGGATCAACCCCCGGAAAAAAGACTTCTCAGAATAGAATTCCGCCAAAATGTGTGGCACAGACACTATGAACTCGAAGTTGAAGCCTCTGCACAGTGACGTAATATTCCGATCAACAAAATATGACCCTGGAGCCACAGAACTACGGCAAGGAGATGCAGTGACGTACATTCCGATTTGTAAGCACGGCCCTGACACAACATATCGTATACATTAACACGATTTTAAAAACAAGTTCTTAACTGTGGATGATTTATTCAAAGAGAAATTGTGTCACGCGACATAAACTGATCACGCGATGTCAACACTGGCCAGGAACTTCGATTCGTTTAGTCATTTTGTGGAAAAACTTACCAATGTTTTAAATCTCCCACCACATGTCCGCCATGTTTTATTTCACATGACCTTTGAGCTCTGTCTTCGTAATAACCTCTCGGCGAAACTATACTTTTCAGTTCTATCAAGTATGTGTTCCTATTTGTAATTCATTTGGTCGAACGTTGGTCCACCTGTGAATATTTTGTAGCATTTTATTTAACTCAAGCAACACTAGTCTTCCTGAAATCTCAAAAGTTGTTCTTGTTATGGGTCACGTGATGTGACGGGGAATACCTTATTACCGTAACTCTGTCACGTGTAGGGAATTCCTATATCCAGACTAGACTAGCCCAGCCTGCCCAGGACCTGTCTGAAACTGGTAAGTATCAGATTGTAATCGTTATGCTGAAGTACGAAATTACATATGGCTGCAATCTCTTTCAAGCCCGGGATATTATTATATTTGCTGATGATAGGTGTAATTATGTACACGTATTTATGATTCGCTCTCTTAGTTTTCTCTATTTTCGTCGCTAACAGGGGCGGCGGAATCGGGGGTGAGTGGTGTCCGTCCCATCCTCCAAAAAAAGCTGAAACCC